TATGTACTACGTTTGAAGCATTTCTGCACTCTATGTATTATGTTTGAAGCATTTCTGTACTCTATGTACTAAGTTTGAAGCATTTCTGCACTCTATGTACTATGTTTGTAGCATTTCTGTACTCTATGTACTATGTTTGAAGCATTTCTGCACTCTATGTACTATGTGTGAAGCATTTCTGCACTCTATGTTCTATGTTTGAAACATTTCTGTACTCTATTTTGCACAAACCTCCCCTCAAAAATTTAATTTACAAACGACTCGAGGAAAGTCTTCCTCGAAACAATTTACTATTTGAAACATTTAGAACTTTTGGTCGTTTGCATTGCTTAGATTTGTGAAAGGACTATTTGTATCGTTTTTTATTGCAAGATATTTTTTATGATAAAGTTTAAATATTTTTGGAAACATGTGTTTCATATAGCTAGACAGCAATTCAATGTCCACAATATATTTCTGCATCTCACATCTTTGAGGCAGGTTATTCTAGTGAAGTATTTTTATATCTTCTCAATAGTTCTCATACTCTCATTCGCAGAGTTAGAGAAGACGTAGTGTACATGCATGCTCATACGCGTACGAATAGATAATATTCGTACGCGTATTTTCGTAATTTCCATGTGTATATGTATTCTCATACATATACAGTACACATGAAAAAGAGAATAATAATGAAAATATAAATGATCACTAGCGTGTGTCTTGAACAAATAAATAATCAATTTGTATCAATTATTTTTTTAGTATGTATATAAATACGAGGTCCGAGCGAAGCACAGCCCCAAAACTTGAGCAATATTGCTAGGTAAGAAGATTTAAAGGAGGACTTAGGTTTGTAATGTAACAACATTTTATATCTGAATAAGATGAAGCCGAGTAGATATTTCAAACGGGTAGAGTAAGTGTAGTTTTTGGATGACTGAGAATTGAATGATTGTTACAGTGAATTTTGTGACGGTGAGTAGCAACTGATTGGATGTTAGTACAAACAAGATCTTTGTGTTGGGTATTTGAAAAGTTAGCAGCTGGAATTTTGTAATGGTGACAGAGAATTGGTGGCAATGATTGGTAAGTGAGTGATAGTGAGTGATAAATGGGTTGGCCAAGAGTGGTCATTGAGTGGGAGTGAGTGGAAATTGGGCGCTGGTGAGTGTTAATTGGGTGACGAAAAGTGGTAATTGAGTGGCAGTGAGCGGTAACTGGGTGTTGATGAGTGTTAATGGGGCGGCAACAAGTGGTAATTTAGTGGCAGTGAGTGTTACTTTGGTGGCGAAGAGTGGTAATTGAATAAAGAAAACAGTGGTAGTTGGGCAGCGATGAAAGGTAATTGTTTGTGGTGAGTTGATATTGATTGACGTTAAGAGTAACTTGGTAGAGTGAGATTGTGGCTTTGCCTTCACAACGTTGTAGGTATATTAGCTGATGAGCGTCAGGATCAAAAATCAAGCGGGACGATATTATTTGATCTGCATGTCCGATTACTGTAGTTTTTTTTTGTGCTGACTTGAATTTCAAACGCGAGTGTGCGTGTCCGCCTCTTCTTTAAATGTTGTTCTATTTCAAGGTTAGTTTTGCCCTGTGAAGTTACACGAAAAATCCGCAGAATAAACATGTATACGAATGACTTGGGAATTTTTTTACTCAAAGAAAGGTTGCGCTCTTCATCAGCGCAGCTTTCAGAATTGTAAATTATAGGATAATTCACAGGTCTGTTAATCAGCGTGACTAATACTTATCAGCGTGACGTCCAGCTACCTAAGAGGCTTGATCTTGTTTGTCGGTGTTATGAACGGACAAGATAGTCTGAAGTAATAAAAATAGATTTGTTATTCTTACATCACATCAGTGTAAATATCTTCGCTAGAAGTTTTAAAAGCCACTTAATGTATCACATTGTTCGACGTCTATATATGAACAAATGCTGATAATGATCTTTTAGGCAGACTGATCTGTTGAGTCTGAATGCGACTTTTATTATTCTGACAACCTTGTTAAGTGCTTCTTGGAGTGATTAATTGAAGAAAATTGTAAACAGGAAAATCAGGTATGGGAGACTGGAGTGTGGGCTCTTCGCATTACATGATGAAAACACTTTAAAATCTAAAATAATTTAATAACTGATTACATTACTGCAGAGATGGACACTTTTTCCTGTCATGTTCTTATGATTGGAATTTATATTCTCATCATCATTTATATTATCTTATATTATATTATTTTATATTCATTGTGAATTTCATATTCTCATCAGACATTTGGAAAATGTGTGTACCAGATCTCTCATTCAATTACTAACGTTAATGACTGATGAGGTACATGGAAAAAAATTGTAACACTCAATCAGTTTAGGAGATCGTTTGACTTGAGCTACGTCCTCAGCCCATCCCTGCGGACGCGTCTGGACAATAGCCTTAACAGATTTTTTATGCACGTGAATTTCAAAAACAGAAGACCGGCAAATGCCTATTTATTTGTCGTATGCCTATTGTCAACAGAGACGTTTCTAAAAAAAAAACAGAAAAAAACAGAAAAAAACGTCTCTGTTTTTTTTCTCCGAGACGTAAAAAAACAGGGACGTTTCTCAAAAATTCGACTGCATCTGGATATGCACATGTGATTTATTGCTAGACGCAAATAACGATATATATTCAATGAAGCGCACTTAGCAAAACACGAACGGAAATAGCGATACGGCAACGATAGATAGCAAGTGTGTCTCGATTCTTATGAAAATGTAGGAGTCAAATTCGAAAAAAATCTGGTAAACAACACTGGTGTTAATATTAGAGTCGTATTTGATTTCAGTTTTGGCCGTCGAACTAAAATGATAGTGTCATTTAAGTCATGTCTCATAATGGAGATAATATAGTTACAAAAGAACGCAGAGGAAATGAAAGAAATACATTTCTTTTGAAGCTTAAATGTGGGATGTGAACTTGAAAAGAATTTACCAAAGAAGAGCAGGACTAATCAATGAAAATTAAATTTAAATGAATCTTAGATACACAATAAATTTTTCACGATGGTACATATATCTTGGAAACAAAATCAATCATCCCTCAATATAATTACAAATATTTTCAAAGTAATTGACTAATGTTTTAACAAACGCCCGTTCATTTCCCAACCAGCTTCAACGCGATGAATTTGTTTCAATTAATTGAAAGCTTGCGCGTGATTTAAAAACGATTAAACAGGCGTCGAATTACCAAACATTTATTATATTCCTGCAATATTTCAGGCAAATCACTTGCCCGGCATCGACTTGTTCTTGCATCCAAGTTCTTACCCGTCTTTAATCACTGTTATATTGATATTACTTTGTTACACTTGATTTTAGTGACATCCCGTTATCAGTTTTCTTGAGGCTTTTTTCCTTGCATGTGTTTAATTTAGAAACTTTCTGTTGCTCTTAACTTCTTTGCCTTATCATTGGAATAGAGTTTTGAATCACCTATGTTGCCTGCGAAGCTTATCTGCTTATGGGCATTCACTTAAATTGGATGTCTCTATTATTTTATAAATGTTTTTCTTTTGAATTGTAACTAGAGCTCCTTTGTGAATAAAATCAATCAATCAATCAACCACCGCTTCATAGCTTTTGGCTAACGATCGTGAGAATCTTAACTGCAGGGAACAACGCTGACGTTTGTTATACAGGAGTTGGTGATGAAAACGTTATATTATTAATAAACGTTAACTATTTTACTGTCGGTACTAATAACATTAATGTATGTAATGGAGTGAAAACTGCTGATACTAATTAGAATAACTTTGGTTATTAATAGAAAAATATATGCTCTGCTTATGCAAATGCTGGTAATGATGAAAATGTTTGTACTGTTGAGATAACTGTTGGAACTGTTAACTTTTGTAAATGTTGGGAATTTTGATATGAAGGATATTAATGATTAAGCTTATTATATAAATGATAATACTGATATTATGAATTTTCTTATTTGAATGATGAACAATCGCGAATACATTTACCTGACACCGATGTAAATAAAGACGATGAAAATGATGAAAAGATTATTACTTATTGGTAATGTGAAAATGTTTGCACTAATGAGGTAACTATTGGAACTGTTCACATGAATGATTGGACTGTATTATCAGTATTGGAAATAATTATAGAGATTATGTATAATTATGTAAATTATTCGATAAATTATTATATAAAAGATTATGTAAATTATTAGGTAAATGATTAGGTAAAGAATTGTGTTACTAATATCATGAATTTTCTTACATGTGTGAAGAAAAAACAGGAATGCGTCTATCTCACAGAGATATCATTTATACAAATCGAATCTAAACTGTGAGATCGTCGGACAAGTTGGTTATCTCATCCATCTCTTCAGCTATGCTTTCTTTATGCTCCGCCTAGAAGTTTCCTTAACATTCACTCGACACAAAGACAGTAACGTACAAAGAAATAAAGTCACGCCCCTTAGCAGAATTGTTTAGGCCTGAGGCTGCTGGAAATATCATTAGCTTAGGTCACTGTGGGCACCCTGCCTACGGTCAGTCCGACGCTTGACGCTCTCGTGAGTGCAGCACAAAAATTCGCAGCTTACAGAAAATAATTTGTTTGTACGCTTGAAAAATGGCTAGCAGCAGCCAGCAGGCAATGGATTACGAAGATGTTACATCTCGTACGACATCTACTGAGGGTGAGTTCAGTTATGCAGTTGAACCCTGGCTACAAATGTTTTGTGAACATAGTTACAGTAATTTAGATCCAAGAAATTTTTACTGTGCATTTTTGCAAATTTTAACTTTGCATTGGTTGCAAGTGATGAGTAAACTTGATGTTTCGTAGTGATGAATAAACTTCATGTTTCGTTGACTCGGTAGATTCTAAAAATAAATAACTTTTACTTTTCTTTATTTATGCATTGTTCTTATTTATTTTGGCTGCTGGAAATATCATTAGCTTAGGTCACTGTGGGCACCCTGCCTACGGTCAGTCCGACGCTTGACGCGCTCGTGAGTGCAGCACAAAAATTCACAGCTTAAAGAAAATAATTTGTTTGTACGCTTGAAAAAATGGCTAGCAGCAGCCAGCAGGCAATGGATTACGAAGATGTTTCAACTCGTACAACGTCTGTTGATGGTGAGTTCAGTTATGCAGTTGAACCTTGGCTACAAGTGTGTTGTGAACATAATAGTTACAGTAATTTATTTTCTAGAAATTTATACTCTGCATTTTTGCAAATGTTGTGAAAATAGTTACAGTAATTTAGATCCTAAATATTTAAATTGGGCATCTTTGCAAATTTTAACTTTGCATTGATTTCAAGTGATTAGTAAACTTGATTGTTCTTAGTGATGAATAAACTTCATGTTTCGTTGACTCTGTAGATTCTAAAAAAATTAACTTTGAGTTTTCTCGATTTATGCATTGTTTTATGACTTATAGGCTTAATTATTGAACCAGCAATCAATTTCAACCACTGGATGATACTGAAAGAAGTATTAATTACCGAGTCAGCTGACACGTGTTCTGTCATTAATTTAAAACGTGTTCAATTCGCAACATTTGCTATTAATACTAAAGTGCCGTGTTAATCACGATCATGCATAATGTGCTAAAAAGTACAAAATATTTAAAGTTTTTAAATCTCTGATGCCTAAGCGCTTTTTTATATATCCAACGTGTGATAATTTAAGAATATTTTGCTAAAGGAGTATCCTAGTACTGAGGTCTATGCGTTCCAGAAGTGGTTTCAAACGTGTTATTTGTGAATTACATAATGTACTAAAAAGTACTAAATATTTGAGGTTTTTAAATCTCTGATGCCTAAGCGCTTGTTGACATTCATACAACGTGTGATAACTTAAGAATTGTTCGTTTAGGGAGTATCATGGTACTGAGGTTAATGCGTTTCAGAAGAGATTTCACACGTGTTTTTTATGTGAATTACTTATCAAAATTTGAGTTCAAGCTCATTTCAATTGATATCATGGGCTCTTATCCCCACGAATATTTTAACATGGAAATACATATTATAACCTAGAACCTACAAATTTAAATTCTGAGATACTAAAGTTATTTAAACAAGATTCACTTCAGTTTATTAGTTTACGGTTGAATTGTCACCGCAGCCAGCAAATCTTAAAACTCTCATTTTAAAGGTGTTATTTTGCAAATTAATCATCAAAATTTTGCTTCAGGTTAATTTTAATATGTAAAATTGATACTTATCCGCTTCTGATTAAGTTTTTCCGTCGCCTGCATTCTCTTGTTTATTCTGACAGAGATCAGGCTGGTGGAGACAGAGATCATCAAAAATCAATACATTAACTAATTGTTTATTTAAATTAATTATTTAAAATTAATCAATCTTTTTTATAACGTAATGCATAACATATTGAAGAATATCAATGTTGGATGATGTCAGTGATAACGATGAAGGCCCATAGCCAGAAATTCTGCAGGCCTATCAAAGAGTTCTTATATGATTATTCTATGATATAAAAATGCAATGAAAATTTTGATATATATGTGTAACCTCGGCTTAATAGAGATGAAATAGTTAGAACTTAAAGTTAGAGTAAATAAGGATACGAGAAATGGCATTAAGTCATGCTGTTCAGTATCTTGCATTAATCCTCTGTTATTTGATTCATTTCGGATGCAGCTGCTCAGTCACTTAATTAATCAGTCCAATTATGGCTCCTATAATTAGAAAATAGATGTGGACGTTAATTCGTTCGTAGGAAATGATAATATCGCTGCACTCACGACCAAATAGCCATGTAAACGTTTGTACAAACTTGAAAGTACTTTATAACTCGAATAATATTATATCATCACAGTCCCTATCCTTTATTATAACACTTCTCTTTCACTTCACTTCTTGTTTGTCTGTCTGTCTGTCAGTCTGTCTGTCTGCTACTAATCTTATAATCGATATTTAACACACTTCTACCTGTCCAATCGATCTGAAATTTGGCACACTTGCATAAAATTGGAAACAATGGATGAATCAGTTGACAGAATAAATGATTTTAAATTAATTTTTTTTTTCAATATTAAAAAATTAAAATAATTTTGTCTGCTACAAATCTTATTATCGATATTTGACACACTTCTACCTGTCCAATGGATCTGAAATGTTGCACACTTGCGTAAATTTGGAGAAAATGCATGAATCAATAGACAGAATAAATAATTTTATAAATAAAAAAGTTTTCATTATTAAAAAACTATAAATAATTTCGTCTGCTACAAATTTTATAATCCATATATGACACAATTTGACCTGTCTAATCGATCTGAAATTTTGCACAATTGCATAAAGTCAGAGACAATGCATGAATCAGTAGACAATAAATAATTTTGAAAATTTACAAAATTTTGAAATCTTAAAAATTTTTTGAAAAATAATTTCTTTAATATATGAAAATAAAATTAGAAATTCATTGTACATGTGTAACGTCCAAGACACTGGATTCTTCAGAAGTGTTGTCTTTAAAAAGCAATTTTTAAACGCATATTATCTTTTTAGCATTGAAATGCGGTTGTCAAAATTGATAGATTAGAAATACGTAAAATGTTTCCTTCTTCGAATTGAATACAGGGTCAACACAAAATTTTAGCTACTGAATTACGAACAATCATATTTTCCACTACCTGCAAATAATTTCAGCAAATTGATTAATCGTTGGTACAATTTCTTTGTATTTTCATGACATAGTTTCTACTAGATTTTTTATCTGAGCATTTTGTTTATTTGGGTACCCGTCACTCATGTATTTTGATTTCATACTAATCGTGATATTTGCCATTACATGCAAATAATTTCAGCAAATTGATTAATCGTTGATTTCTTTGCATTTTCATGACATAGTTTCTACTAGATTTTTTATCTGAGCATGTTGTTTAATTTGGGTACGAGTCACTCATGTATTTTGATTTCATACTAATAGTGACTCCATCTTTTGCAGCGGAAAACATATATTCAACGGTGCCCATGTTGTATAAATGATTTAATAATGTGTATTTTTTTATTATGAGTCAATACTAATCGTGACTTCATCTTTTGCAGCGGAAAACATATACTCAACGGTCATCTACTGTGAAGGATGCAGGCTATCTGGTCTATTGAATGGCATGTGCAGGTGCCAGTATTGCGACCGCTGGAGGGAGCTGCAATATCAGACGATGAAACTTAAACAAATAACTGGGAAAAGTAATGAGAGCTGGCGAGAAATGCTAAGCAAGAAGAAGGCTTCAGAAGCTCGTGGGAAACTCGTCAGTAGTTTGCACCGACGAGTCGTCGAGAATAAGTCCTCTAAACGCAAGATTTACTCCGAGAAGTCAGCATTTAAAGAGTCTGGTGGGAAAAAGATGGAAAAGCGAATGAAGTCATATATCACGCGAATTAGAATATTAGATCAATGTATCAATGAAATTAAAGTTAATGATGAAAGCCGGTACGACGTAACTGACCTCAGCGACCTGGTCTCAGCCCTCAACATCGAAAAGGAACCAACTTCGCTGTTTGACCTCACACTGAGCGAGCTGCGTGAGCTCCACGCCAATCAACTCTAACCTATTTCAGATGATTTTGTTTTAGTTTCGACAAATTGGGAGGTCAATACAGATGGGCCGATAAGAACTCGTTACAAATGAGGAACACCCGCCAACTCTAACCTATCCCAGATGATTTTTTGTTAGTTATCAACTAATGATACATAAATGTACATAAAATGAATTTGAATTCCTACAAATAAAATTTCTCGAAACTTGGAATTTAAGCTTTTTTATAATCCTTTGAAAAAGTTTTGACACAATTAGTTCTAGTTTGAAATGATTTTAAGAATTGAATTAGTATTTGCAATTTATTCGGTTTGAAAACGAAATATCTTTTTATTAGATTTATCAATCAATACAAACAAACCATTTTAAAACATCAATTTGCGAATACTTTAGATCTGCATTGAATTAGTAATGTTTTATGTTGTTCGCCACGTGAATGTGTTGGTTATGAAGGTACTTTTATGAGTGTTCGAGATCACGTCACAAATTAGCATCCCAAATAGCGATGATAGCGTCACTAATTGACGTTACAGATGCACTATATTACAGATGCACTAAGTTACCGATGCATTATATTACAGATGTACTACTGTATATTACAGATGCACTTCATTACAAATGCACTATGCTAGAGATGTACTATATTACAGATGCACTATATTACAAATGCACTATGTTAACACGAAAGTGGCGTTACGAAACGCAGGTGCTTGCGTCGCAAACTATCATAACAGAAAATTTACTTATTTACCCTAAAAAAACGTATTAGACTTCGAATAATAATGAGACAGAACAGAGGAGCGTAACTGAGTGCTCGAGAAGTACATAACGGAAGAGAAATCAATTAATAACGTCACTGAGTGCATAAAATGGCAGCATATCAAGAATTGTCGTGTATTAGCGTTACAGGACACTCGTGACCGCAAGTATTAACCTTTTTGATCGTACGTTACGTGACATATTAGCGTTACACAGCGCTCTATATACGTCACGCATTATCGTTACAGAACTCACTATCCGTAACATGTTAGCATTACATATCACAGTATACCTCACATAACAGCGTTACATGACACTCTAAGATGCCACATATTAGTGTTACAGAACGATCGATCCGTCACATTTCAGCGTTCAATAACACTTTATCAACGTTATATCACATCAGCGTTACATGGTTACACGACACTCTAAAGGCGCCACATAAAAGCGTTTAAATAACACCCTAAAGACGCTCGCCAGCACTCAGGGGCTCGCCACCACAGCAGCGGCTCTCAGAGGCTCGCCCGGCCGCCCCTCGTGCGGCTCTCAGAGGCTCGCCACCACAGCAGCGGCTCAGAGGCTCGCCCGGCCGCCCCTCGTGTGGCTATCAGGGGCTCGCCACCACAGCAGCGGCTCTCAGTGGCTCGGCCGCCCCTGGTGTGGCTCTCTCTCTGATTGCCGCGGCGTGGGTGTGGCGGACGACGCTAATGAGGGTCGACGGTGTAGGAATATTACGAGTGAATTGTTCGAAGATAGACAAAAGTTTTGAGAGTTTGTAAATTTTTCCTCAAAAAATGTGAACGAATATTGTTGAATCTATAATTTAGAACTTGAAAGCGAATGTTATCGAAATTTAATTCGGAATTTTATAGCATATATAATGGGTTGTAACTGAGATATCGTAATATGAACGTCGGCGTTAACAGTAAGATCCCAACTTACCTCTATTTTGAAGTTTCACTTGAAATTTCATATCATGAGATATAAAATTAAATAAAAATTAGATTGAATGTATAAGTTTGAAAGAAGAAGGCATATATTTCACTCGAAAAATGAAATAAATAAGTTTTTCGAAAATATTTCGCTTTAATCATATAGGATATTTTGAATTACTCAAAATTAGTGCACGGTGAATCAATTTGTTCATGGATTTATTTGGAAGCAACCAGTTCGGAAACTAGCGGAAAAATTTAAGTAATATTTCTGCTATGATGAATTAATTATTTTTTTTTACGATTCATCTGTACCTCATGCTTTGATTAAAAATGTCCAACTTTAGGCCATAGGTGATGGGTTTTAATGAACGATCGTTCATAACCAGTGCATGGTTACGGGAGAGACAGAACTCAAAGTACCGCAAGGAATCAATGATCATTTTACGGCAAATTTCACTATCAGCCCGTTTTTCATAACCTTCATCCAGTCATCTGTTTTACTTGCTGGAAAAAATGTCCAGCATGAATGATTAGGCAAAATTTTATTTTGCCTAATCATTCATACCACAAGAATCATAATTAAATTACGAAATTGAAAAAAAAATTTGAAAAATTGAAAATCCTATATAAAACTAAATCTTATATATAAACTAAAAATTTAATATCTTATACACCAAACGACCGTTAAATCGTCTAAAAATTACAATGGGGAGCCTACAAGAGTTCATGTTAGATGCATTATTAGAGTCTTCGACTGCAATTCTGTGCCACTGAATACAACGCTCGGCAAAGTGAGTTACAGTGTTACCTTATCTCGTAGCTATGACATTCGTGAGTTGAATTGAGGATACGAACCTGTTACTTTTGTTACTGTTTAATGTCCTGTTACTTTTTTAGTGTTGATTATTGTGGATATTGATTGAAAATTATTTTACAAATATTTTGGAAACTATGACTAGATAGAAAAAACTCGGACTGTCGTCTGTTACTTTTTTAGTGCAGATTATTTTGGAAATTGATTGAAGTTCGTAGAATAGATATTTTAGGAAAATATGATAAGATAATCACTATAAATATTCATATGAGCTTGAGAAGAATTAACCCTTCCCCTATCGGGTGAATAATACCCTTCGCAAGCGTCAGGTCTCCAAGTTCTGTTTGTCAATTTACTAACGTTTGCTCCTTCTCTCAGTTCAATGTGGCTTTAGGTTGAAGAATCAATAATAAGAATATGGAATTCTTGGTGACAGCGGCTCAGCACGGTCTGTGCAATTGATAACATTTAATGAAAGTAACACTCTGCTCAGTGAAAATTTACAGACGCGGCAGCTTCTGATTTGGATTACCAGAAGCTGGGGCGACTCTAAATTTTGTCAGGGTCCATACCCAGTGAAAATTTACAGACGCGGCAGCTTCTGATTTGGATTACCAGAAGCTGCATGGGGCGACTCTAAATTTTGTTAGGGTGCATGTCATTCGAGGTGTGCAGTGGTGCTGTAGATGCGTCGTATATACCATCTTGTAAGATAATAGTCAATAATAATTATTGTCTATCCATTCGCCTCTTCAGCAGCACAATTTCACAAATCACTACTCGCTTGAAATTATAATCTATAGAGAATTCCACAATTCTCTAGATACGCGGTTGAAATTGTAATCTTTTGTAAGTTGCCACGCTTGAACATTTTAGATACGACTGATGAATTTTTCATTATTCTAGTTTGTTCTTAATTCAAAGAGTTTGCTGTTTGATACAGGGTTTGATATGAAATTTATGTATTGAAATATGATCAATGTTCAAGTCAAATGGAAGTTTTTTAATCACTCTTCATGGTTTGAGGGATAAACTTTACCAAAACTTGAAATGGTAGCGAGCTGTAAACATGCAATGTGATCAGAGTCTAGTCAGGGCAACGTTGATTAAACAAATGAGAGGCTAATCGAGTATGCATAGAGCTTACCCGGAATCGATTAGGACCATTAAGTTTGGTATAAACTCATACTGATGAGGACATGTTTGAATTTAAATCCGATAATTTTAGCTTCAATGCAGAAGCTGTCGATTATTGTGGAAATTAAGTGAAGATTATAGAATAGATATTAATTGAAACTATGACAAGATAATCACTATAAATATTTATATGTTTAATTGCACTGTAAATCTATGTCATGGAAGAGACATTTTCTCTAGATTTGCTCTGAGAAATAATGCAGAATGCCTGTTAGAAGACTTGCATTTGGTACGTTTTTATTTTCTCTTTAACAGTTCCCTCTTACCATTATCCTATCTCCCCGCTCTTCCCGAGGGGCTTGTCGTTCATTAGGTCAGGACCATTGCTATTCATTAGGCGTCCGAAGGCCTTATCTGTCGCGCCTTAGCCGCCGCTAGCGGGCCTATTCGCGGCCAAAAGCGTCACTTACTGGCCTTAAACGCCACCAAATGATTTCCAGTTACCGTCAATCCCGTAATAATTTTATGGTGAAGAAGATCGTGGCCGTAAATCTGTCACGCTGAAATGAACCAAAGTGGCCGTGAGCAAAGCAACGGAAGTTTAAACGTTTGTGAAACGCACGAAGATATTATTGAAAGGCGGAAACAGTCTACCGTTATGCTGATGCCTGTAGTACAGAGAATATTGCACTGCATTTAATATGAAGTGCAAAGCATGAATGTTATTTTGTGATAATTTAGGAGCCATCGTGCAAATAGTTCTCTACCAGCAGCTATTATTTATAGAAAACGTGATCGCACCGGGAATAATCTTCGACATTTCGAGGAGGCTTTCGGCTCACAGTAAATTGAAATGATTGAAATGATTGTACATGATTTTAAAATTATTCAAATGATTGTAAATGATTTTGAAATTACTCATATGATTGTAAATGATTATACTTCGACGACGACACACGTTAAATAAAAAAGTTGTAAGCCTTCAATACTAGGAATGATTCTTTGAATTCACCCCATTGTACGATCAGATAACAGCCGCATGTGCCATACAAACATTTTACGGAGTAAAATATCAAGGGATTAAATAATCCCTTTAATCCCTAATCTCTTTGATACCTCTAATCCCTAAAACAAAACATCAATTCCGGGATTAAAAAAAATATAATTTTCACTCGCAATTAAGGCTTCAAAAGAAGTGATTACGAACTGGGTTTGTTCAGCTCCCAGACTTCAATTATAACTCGGGGGCGGCAATCCCCAGGACTTGACTCAACTTTGTGAGGCTTTCCCTCACCTCGCCGAGTTATTCAATTGTTTGTGCGCGTCTGCCTTGGATGGACGAACGAAAATGCGCACGGACCGACACG